TAGTAATTAACACAATAAGTACCAAATCTATGAATAGGTCTTTAATACTGGACACACTGGTTGCAATCAGGTCATGTTGGTGTGCTGAGAGTTTTAATATTTAAAAAGCTGTTACATAGATTAAACTGAATGACACATTGTGGATATTTGAGATTGAGTGTTGTGTGTTTTAATAATACTGTGTAGATGATGTGGCGTGTGCAGACCCTGAGTTATGTAAACAGATTTGTGGAAACCCTGTGGGTTGTACAGACACTGCCTATGCCAGACTGGTCATGGAGCTGCTGCCTGCTGGTGAGAGACTTTTTTACCTTTGTTACACCTCCTGTCCTGCCTTCTGCTCTATGTACACATGTCTGTATACATTTCTTTTATGCCTATCTCCTGGCCAGGGCTGCGAGGTTTGATGATGGCAGTAATGATTGCTGCCCTCATGTCCTCTCTGACCTCCATCTTTAATAGCGCAAGCACCATTTTTACCATGGATCTGTGGAAGAGTTTCAGATCCCGTGCATCCGAGTGGGAGCTTATGATTGTGGGCAGGTATGTGACCACCTCTGGGCGAGCAGACATAATCCAAAATATATAACATGTCAATAAAGTGTAATGTAGTGTATTTAATGGAGACTTAAAAGAGGGCCACCCTGCTGTCTGCTTCTTCCACTGAGGTCTTAAGTTAAAGGTTAAAGGCTTATACATGTTGAATATTTTATTCCAACTTCTAATTGCATCATAATGCACTTAGGATCAAATCAACCATTGCATATTAAATTATTACATTTTTCTGTAATGCTCAGCCCAAACCATAACTCCTCTTTCCAAATATTTCTAAGTAATGACTTTACCAGATTTTCTTTTCTAGCCTTCACACACACACCCTCATAACTAAATGTACAGTATTGTTCAGATATACAGTTTATTTCTTTGCAGATCTGAATTATTTGCCATTAAAAACACAACTGTTGTCTTTTACTTGCAGGGTGTTTGTGCTCGTGCTGGTGGTGATGTCTGTGCTGTGGATTCCTGTCGTCCAGGCCAGTCAGGGTGGGCAGCTTTTTATCTACATCCAGTCCATCAGCACCTACCTCCAGCCCCCGGTCTCCATCATCTTCCTCATGGGCTGCTTCTGGAAGAGGACTAATGAGAAGGTAAGGTGGTACGAATCGTAAGAATATTATTTATTCATTGAGACATTGAAGAAAGAGATCCTGCAGAGTATTAGTGTGTCATATTCCACACAGAGACAGTTGCATGCATTGACTGTAGATCACTCCCACTAATAGAATATTAGTTATTAAAAAAAAAACTACTTTTCTGACGGCAAATGACTTAATATGCACACTCAGCCTGTATCTTCTGTAGTTGTATTTATGTGACTTTGTGTCTGCATGTTTTTGTGTGTGCGCGCGCACTGTGGTGTGACAGCAACAAGACTGCAAAGAATTGAGGTCATGTGTGAACCAACTAGAGAAAATGTGTGTGATTGATGAAACCTGCACTGAAACAACTGTAACTAATTGTGTGATTGTGCCCATTATTGACTCTCTTCCCTCCCTCTTCCTCCCTCAGGGTGCATTCTGGGGCCTGGCTATCGGCCTGTTGGTGGGCTGCATCCGTATGTTGTTGGACTTCATTTACCCTGCACCCCTGTGCTATGAGGAGGATGACAGGCCTGGGGTTTTGAAATACGTCCACTACCTATACTTCTCCATCTTGCTGTCCTTCATCACCTTGGTTGTGGTGGTTGTCATCAGCCTGGCTACAGAAGAGCCCAAGCCGGAGCAGGTGAAGCAACTTCATCAGATCTAAATTTAAGTTGTAGGATTGTGTGCACAACAAAAATACATAAAATGCATTTCTTACCGTAGAAGAATGTTTCAAAACATGTGCTGCTTATATCAGTTTCCACTATTCTTCTTTTTTACTGGCACATTGCAATTGTCCATTAAGGCCACTACTCAAGATACATGAATACAAAGATTTGCTCAATATAAACCAGTGGTGGAATGTAACTAAGTACATTTAGTGCTGTACTTTAGTACAAATCTATGTCTTTTCTTTTCATGCCATTTTATTATTAGCTTATGAAATATGGTGTTTTAATCAATTAGTCGATTGATCAGAAAGTAATTGACTATTTTGATAATCATTTTTAATTTTTTATGCAAAAGCATTTCATGATTTCAATTATTAAAATTTATTTTTAAGAATTTTTATTTTGTAGTATGGATTGGACATAGCAAACATTGTGAATGTGTCATTTTGGATTTTGGGTAATTGTGGCAACATTTTTGACTATTTTCATAATTTTTACAATCCAAACAATCAATTGATTAATGGTGAAAAACAGATAGATTAATCAATAATGAAAGTAATCATTAGTTGCAGTCCTGTACAAAATAGTTCAAAATGAGCTCTACCTCAGCAAAATACAACAGTAAAAACCTGCTTTTATATTAATGCATTAATAATAATAATCGAATGATATAATACTGTATAGAATAGTATAATAGACATAGAGGACGTAAATAGTATTACTTAGTAGTAGTTAGTACTTAGCTTAAGTAAAGGATCTCAATAACACTACTGCTTAAATAGTCACTCTGCAGCACCACTAGGTGTCAATAACACCTCAGGGTACCTTTAAGGCAAAGTGTTATTAATTTGCAGCACACTGATTTAAAACTGTAACCAGATTTATCATCATTTGAGTCTTTCAGAAAAAGTACATTTGCCTATTTTTGTGTTTCAGCCTAACATAAACTGATACTCTCTGAAATGACGAAAAAGTTAAGTTTTTACTTGCTGTGTCATGTTTTTTTTTTTTTTTTTTTTTTTTTAAACAGATAAATCGTATCACCTTGGTACACAAGTTTTTTGACCTGTTGGACCCAAAGAGCGGAGCACTAGGACCTTAGAGGAGACTACTCGTCAGATGAATGAGATAGGAGAGCAGGAGAGCAGCACTGGAAAGGCCTGTCATCACAGGAAAGGTGGGTCTCTGTCCTGTGTGCCATTACACTTTTTCCATTTGACCATTTGTCAGTCTTGGCAGTGAACACACACCCTCTCTCTCTCTCCAGCCTCTTCATCATCTGTGGCGAGCGTCCAGAGCCAGTCCAGAATGATATCTGCCCTCTACTGGCTGTGTGGGATGGAGAGGAGGCAGGAAGGAGATAATCCTGTGACCCCTCCCGCACCTGAAAAGCCTGTCTGCTCTCTGGAAGAAAAACCACATCTACGACTCATTGTTAACACCAACCTCATCATTTGCCTCTCTGTAACTGCCTTTATTATTGGCTACTGGGGTTGACAGGCAGGTTAGGAAACTTTCAATATACACATGGTGTGGGTAAAAAGTTGTGTACAGTCTTTTTTTTTCTTCCTTCCACTGTTTTGTTTCACTCCTATACGTAAAGAAAGAGCGATTTTGTTCCCTTAAATTGATTATAAATGGAATACGCACAATTTTACAACGTTTATAATCCAGGCGACATACATGAAAATAATGCTTATGTCAAATATTTTGATAAAAGCTCATTTTACTGAATTTAATGTTGTATTTAAAGTTAACTACATCTGATAAACAAACTGACTGATAACCTTTTTTTCTGGCTTTGTATCCACTTTTGTGTGAGGAACTGTTATAAACAATTACTTTTTCACAGAATGATAAATAACTGATGAGAAGAAGCTGACAACACTGTAAAATGTTGAACAATCTTTAATTAAGAGTAATGATGCATTGTATGATGCATTATGTGCAGAAAAGCAAACATATAAATGCTGAGGAGAAATAAAAAAAAAATATAATCAAAGAGCTGAAAAACACCCCAACAAGGTAAAGATTGTCAGCTGCAATAAAAACAAACAAAGAAGAATTTTGGCATATTTGGTCATAGCTTTGAGCTTGAGTGGGAGTGATCAGTTACAAGCTATGTATTGAAAACACAATTATCACAATCAATTTATTATTAAAATCCCTTTTAATGATAAAAGCTAAACTTCAATCAGGTCACTTGAAATCAAATTAATTTCAGATGAAAACAAAATAAATTCATACCCCTTTGGATTACTCAGAGAAAAATTACCTGAAATACCAAAAATTACAGCACGTGTGCTGTGGAGAGGACACCGCTGGAGGACAACTGCATGTCATATTGCACTCTTGCCAAAATATTTGGTCATTAGCAACCATAATAGAAGCTTAGCAGCTCTGAATTTTATTTAAACTTTCTTTTGGCCCATATTATCATTTCTTTGGTCCTTTACGCTGCTATGTGGTGCTGAAGTTATTGAAAAGCTCTCCTAAGCTGAACATCACATTCAGCCAGTTGAAACTGACAAATTGGAAAATGATTTTTTTTAAAAAGTTCAGAAGGTGATTGTGTATCATGATTAATAGCTAACCAGTGGCTGGTTAACACTCAAATATCTCCACACAACTGTGCTGCTGAATAAAAAAAAAAATACCAGTCATCAAGTCTTGACCTGGTGCTAAAACCAGATTCACAGATTTCTGTCTCCAAAAACATTCATAGCATTGGAACCTTTAGTATTGATAGCAACACTTTAAAAAGAAGCAGGAGACAAGTGAAAGCGTTGCACTTTAAAGTTCAGCTACTATGTGTTCAGGTTATCTATTTAAGTCCTGTAGCCTCGAGTCTAGCAAGGCTCTGCAGTCCAATCTTAAAATACCCAGCAGTATATAGAACAAAGGGAGTTTAAAATGACGTCTAATAGTTTGACAGGATGAGGTTTCTGGTTTGAGTCTCAGCAAAACAGAAGAAAAGGCAACAGTTTTTTTTTTCTCCCAGAGAGCTGTATGACATCATGTGAGTGCAGTGTGAAGAGCTGGAGTGAACCAATGCATTTGAGTTACCTGCCTGATATTTGATTCTAAGCATTCAAATCTATTACATGGGCCAGCTGTGTGAAGAAAGGATTTTGATGAGCCCTCTTTTTTTTTTTTTTTTTTTTTTTTCACAGAACGGTACTCTCTGTCTGGATTTGAGGGTCTAGGTGCGGGGCTAGGGTGGTGGCGGCGGCGGCAGGCTCTTGACCAGCAGAGCACTCCTCTTCTTGGTCCACAATCACCTCAGGGATAAGGGCTCGTCCAACCCCCTTTAGGAGCAGGCCTCCGTCTGTGCAGGACAGTCAGGGATCAGCAAATAGATCAGTTTAGACATGTATTGAACTTCAATGTATTGAAGCTCAAGCAACAAACCAAACTTATGACGGCAACACACAGTTTCAAACTGGGGGAGCACACACACACAAGACCTTTACACACTCAGTAAGACACCAAGGATTTATCTTTCTTTTAAATCTAGTCAATGTTGCATAATATTGAACCAGTTAAGTAAGACTTTTAGAGATGGAGGAAGTTGCTGGAGAGTATCCTTGGTGTGTTAATCTTTAAATGTGAAACATTTCCTACATATATGTTCAAAGTGCACATACAGAATAACAGCATCCTGTCTGTTTAAATTCTGTTTAGTATGTTTAGGGGCATGTTAGTGATCACAGAAAACTGTTAGCAGCATTGGGGGGGATGGTGTGGCAGTCAAAAGCATGTTAGTTGTGTTGTACAGAAGGGTTAAAGTGCAGGACAGAAGCATACTAATATACATAAATACATATGTATACAGTATGCAAACAGCCAACAATGACACACTAAAAAAGGAGCAAATGCCTGCATTCTTTGTTTCCCCACACAGAGACACACACATGCAGTGGACACAGAAGCATCAGCCAATCAGATCCTTACCAGTACCTGCCTTGCAAAGCTCATCTTACAGGCAGGCCAGCAGCTCAGACATCTGCAATATTTACATATTTCCTGTCATGCGTCAGATCACCAAAGTTACATTTAGTGTGAGAGGCTTTATGACACAGTGAAACCAAAAGCCAGAGACCTACATACAGTAAAACCATGAGAGGAAGCTGAAATCACTCAATACTGAATCCAGTATCAGCAGACGAGCAGCAAGTGATTTCAGCCGTTGCAATGCCTTCACAAAGACAATGTTAAACATCACTAAAGATGCGTTTTATGTACTTTCATTAAGACGCCACAATAGTTGCTCACTGCATAAACAGTAAACTCTTCTTTGTTTTCATTAGTTCGAATATGAACAAGTACTGTACTTCCTTTTTCATTTTATCTTACTTTATACTTCACCTCCACTATGACTCAGATGCAAACATTGTACTTTACAGACTCAACTACATTTACTTGACAATTTTAATTCAGATTGATAATACAAAAGATGATAAACAAATAAATTATGATGTATTATTTATTATAGGATAAGATCAGATTTGATCCCCAGGGAGAAATTCACATGTAACAGTGGAAACATTAAATGCATCAATTATTATCCAAAAATATGATAAATATGATTAAGAAATGGGCCATTCTGCTTGAGTACTTTAAGCACATTTTGTTAGTATTTCTACACTGGGGGTTTTACTTTAAGTAAAATGTCTGAGGTAAATGTACTCTCCACTATATTTGTTGTATGACAAACTGCTATAGGCTAAACAACTCAACAATATATAAAGCAATTAATAAGCTACACCATGGCCAGCTACAACATTAAAATGGCACTTAGGCATAAATGCATCTGTAATAATAATCCAATGTATAGTAATATAACACTTAAGGAGCCTTTCACATAATGTGTACTTTTGATACTTAAAGTACAAAATAATAATACTTTTTTTTAGTAGGATTTTTAATGCATGCTTTTACTTGTAATGGAGTATTTTTTTCTACTTTTAGTTAAATAAACAATCTGAATACATCTTCCACCCATGACGCTGATCTGTGCACCACAAAACTATAGAAGTGGCCAGATCAAACATCCCACTGTCTTTGGAGCCAGATGAGAGTTTCCAATGGAAAAACTTGATCATACAGTGCACATGTTGTGCACACATACACAAATACACTCACACACAGTAATGCCTCTTCTTCAATATAAGTACACTGAAATGTTATTACCCTCTCTTGATTTCAGCAGTCTGGTGTGGCTTCTTTTTTTGAAATATGATTAGTATCTCCAGAAACTATTTAAATATCATGATAGTGCACATTACGTTTTTATATAATATATTAATTAATATTGAAAAACAACGATTTGTGAGGCACAGGAAACAGACTGTTTACCTGTTATGATCTTTGAGGCAGAGCTGCAGATGCCATTACCGTTGTCATTTGCTGCGGGTTGTGGGGGGGGCGGCATGCTGGGTCGGGGCCGTGGCCTGGGAGCCGGCCTGGAGGGGCGAGGGAGGGACCCAGAGTGGTAGAAAGATAGCGGGTTGGACTGCAATCCATCATGAGGCGGAGTGTCGGGAGGGGTTGGAGTGCTTGGGGGAGAGGGCTCCGACTCCGCCTGGGGCTGGTGGGCTTGAGGAGGCTGCGGGGGCGGGTGGCTCGGGGCGTGGATCAGGCTGTCTTTGCTGGGGTGGCGTCGGGGAGTGATGGGTGGGTGGTGAGGGGAGCTGGGTGTCTGGGTGTTACTAAGCTGGGAGGCAAAGGGGCTGGCCTGTTTGGGTGGGGCTGGGGCCTGCTTCTTGGTGCCTTCAGAGGAAAACACATAATTATTACATGATATTAAGAATATTAATGGTACTATAGAATCAGAATATATACATTCTCTCACCTCTGCGAACCATGTGTGGACTAGGCCCCCTGGATCCACCCTGAGAGTGGGGGGTTCCTACTGTAAGATGGAGCGAACCATTCCTCTGGGGAGGAGGGGTGGACATGAGCTCACGGGCTGGGCTGTGGAAATACAATAAATCTAAATGTTAATCCATCAACATATCATCTATACTTACATTTAAGAAGGAGGTATTGCATCGGTGGAAAAACTCATGCAAAAAAGCACATATTTCCAATTGAAGGTTATTACATAGCAATGACTAAAAAAAACAACATAAAAAACAGTGTAGAGAAGAGGATGCAAAAAAAAAAACAGAAGTTTGTTCATTAATACGTTACATGCAAAATCAGACATTGCCACAAAGTAGTCACTCAGACAGACTGGCTGACAGGCAGGCAAAAAGGAAGGGGAGTATACATATAAAATAGACAGAGTTTGTCAATCATCACAACAAGCAGGACAGGGGACAAAAGTTGCCTGTAAACAAAAGCATCACATTGATTTTTGTTGCATTACATTCTTAATTTGTTAAAATGAATCCAAATTAAAAGCTGTGGACGTAATAGACATTGTTATTATTGTGATTTTCTATTTTATGATCTCCAGTACAGGAACTGAAGACGAATCAAACACATGACAAACATAAAAGGGTGGGTGAGCTCCGGATTGGCTGATTGGCTGCGAGCAGGCGGTGGAGTATTGTTGCTACCTCAGCTTGCTCTTCCTTACCTGCTCTCTTCTGCGCTGAGCTGGGTTACAACCTGAGGTTTCACTGTGGCTACTTGGACCCCACCACCCAGAACACCACCACCAGCACCACCACCACCACCACTCAGGCCAGGCTGCTCCGCCTCTGTAGCCGGGGACGGAACCTGGGGCTGGGGCTCAGGTTGGGGAGGAACCCCGGCTTCCAGAGGGGGCAGTGGGGGTTGGAAGGTGGGTGAGGTTAGCTGTGGCTGCTTTCTATTAACAGTGCTGGCTTTACGTGGAGCAGGCTCCGGCTGTTTGTTAACAGTGCTAGGGAGGGGGGAGAGGGGAGAGAGTTCAGGAGGGCAAACCACACGCCATCAGACAGAATGAAAGAGCAAGTGACCGAAAGAGACAGAAAAAAACAGTGAGACAGACAGAAAGAGATGGTGCGAGAAACAGAAAGAGATGCCACTTCCTGAGTTAAATGAAACCAGCTCAGAAAGAAGAACCCAAAAAGGACATAAAACCACATGACAGTGACCTCTTAAATAGAACAACTTTGTACTGCGACATCTCTGCAGGGACAGAAGAGACAGATGCTACACCATACAAACAAAATGCAACAGAGGAAGCCCACACAAAACATAAAACCAGCAACCTACAGTGTGACCTAAGCTTTAATTAGAAACAAAGGAATAACACAAGAGTACACAAGAGTAACACATGAGAATTATAGCTAAAGACAAAAATTGTATCCCATCGGTTTCATTAAAATGTCTGACACAGAACTGCTTTTTCATCATGTTCAGTGCGAACCTTGAGGAAAACATAACTGATTAGCTTGTGCTAGAACCACCTAAACAGAAATGTGGTGCAAAAAATCACACAAAACATCATTCCCTTCTTTGACTTATCAATAATTAAATTCATGGGAGCTACATTGGACTATGGCACGGCCTTGAAGTCTGGACTGGGCAGATCTTCAGTGGGTGTTTCAGTGACTGTGATGGACTCGTTGGCCACTACATAGAGGGCCGACACGACTGGGCCCCGCGACTCCTGCCTGCTCAGTGTCTTGGGGCGGGACGGGAGGGTGAGGGGCAGGCTGAGGCTGAGGTTGGGGCGAGACAGGTACCTGTCTTTACGGGGCGTGTGACTGTCCCCGTCTTGCCCCACCAGGCTGCCGGGTCGTTTCCGCTCCAGGCTGGGTTCAGGGTCTGGGGTGGCTGGGTGGGTGGGCATGGCGAACATGCCCGAAACATTGAAGTCCACCTCTGGACATAAGAAGGTGGGAAGCAAATAGAGAAGAGATGAGGAAAATTACAATGAGAGTAAAGATGATCTTGAATTTATGATAATGAGTGAGAAATGATCAATTCTATGGTTAAGTTATTTTTTAGCCAGGCTAGCTATTAAACTGTAATCACTTTTTAATAACCAATTACTATGTGTGTGTTAGCATGCTAAACTTTGATGGTGATCATGGATCATGCTTTAATTTAATTGCTTGGTGGGCTCAGTTTCTCTCTATGTGTCTCAGCTTCACTTCATTTAGTGAAAATGAAAATTAAAAACTGTATTAAAATTTTCCAAAATGCCCTCTGACAACCAGTAGAGGACGAGCATGGGCTGGCACTAGCTGGAGAGAGCATGCAAATGGAAGAGAGTTTTATTTTTAAGTCAAGACAAAATATTTCTCACTTAAAAATGTCTACAGGAAAGTTTGGAAAAAACCTCCAAAACAGTAAGCTTTTATTAAAAAGGTCCAGTGTGTAACATTTAGGAGGATCTATTAGAATAAATTACCTTACCTTATTAACTTAAAAATTAGCTGTTTTTATCTACAGACACTGCCATGTTTAGCAGCCCAGAAGGGGGCCTTCGTGCTTAGAAGGGGAGGGTGAAGCGAGTTGCGATCTACAATTACACTGCTATATGCCACTAATCCTACATACTGGACTTTTAGGTAACAGTGTAAATAATAAATTACCAGATAAATGTAGTGGAGTAAAAAGTATAAAGTTTTTATACAATACATAGAGTACATTACTATTATTGCATATACAACAAACTGATGTTTTACCTTCTGGGAAGAACCAATCAGCGTGCTGGATAATAGGCTCAATGATGGCGACCACATGGACAGATGTAGCTGCTGCCATCTCTGCCAGCGTCCTGAATACAACCACAGACAGACAGGAAGCTTTAGCAACTTAAGCTTTACTTTGTCCTCAGAACATTAACATAAATATGAGGTAACAGATCACAGATCATTACCCCTCAGTCTTTGCCCAGAGCAGGTTGGGCCCCAGGACTATGGCGATGTTGCTGGGAGTCATCTTATTAGCCTCACTGTCCTGGGCCAGTTTAGCCAGAAACTTCACCAGATACCTGAAACAGAGACTCCAGTTGCTTTAAAAACATCTAAGCTACTGCAACTGTTGTTCATTACAGGCAAGTTAGCTAACTGATGTTTAAATGGTTCCCAAGCTTTTTGGATTGTGACCCCTTCAAGCAAAGTGATGGTTTATTGTGGATATGAGTTGTGAGCAGCTCAACCACACTGCTTTTTCTCCTCAGATTATGTCTGAAGGATGTTTTACAGTCATTAGTGGTAAAAATGTCAAATATGTCACAAAAAAAAAAAATGTATATAACAGAAATTGTGTTTTCTCTTTTCTCTTTAATTATCTTTGACCTCTAACATTCATCTTGGGACTTCTTGTGGGGTCATGACCACATGTTGGGAACCCTTGTTCTAAGCAGAAGTGAGTGCTCTGAGAATAAGGCATCAAAAAGTACAACCAAACTAGTAAGATTTCTAAGCTTTCTATTTTTCAACTCACATTCATCTCTGTACTCACACCTCTGTTGCAGCGACAATTCATATATTGCATCATCTAAACAGACCACAACAGAGTTGAAGATGTTCTTACCTGAGGTTTGCCTTGTGAGTCTTTGGCAAACGGTCACATGTCACCCACAAAGACTGAAGCCTCTTGTCAGAGTCAGGAACACTGAAATTACACACACAAACACACACAAACAAATATTTGCTGGTTACATATAGGGAACAGAGAGCACACACAGATTCAGGTGTGAGTTTAAAGCTTATTAGAGCAGAGTGAATGTGTTTTACAGGATAATGAAGGATCATGTCTGTCTGAATGTGTGTGTCTTCTTACTTGGAGGCCTGTAGCCACTCGTCGTACAGGCCAAAAGTCATTAAAGGTTCAGGAAGTTCCCTGAGGTAGGACTTCAGGGCTCCTGTGTATGAAGAGAAAAGCTATGAGAAAATGATCTGCACCAGATGGCATCACTTTTTGTGGATTTGTAGAAGAGGTTGTACCAGCGACGGCGTGGGGATCAGAGTAGAACTCCTCGAGCTGCGAGGTGGAGCAGTCTAGTGCCGCTTTTAGCTTCTTGAGTTTTGAAGCTCCGGCAGCTATTCTGAAGAGACCCTGCAAGGTAAAATATAAACGAAAATGACTGGACAGTGCTTTTTTTTTTTTTTTGACAGGTACAGGTGACTGGTTTCAAACCTGAAATTAAAGAAGTGAGTCTGGGTCGGTACAGGAAAGGAGAAGTAAAGCATTTAAAGTGTACCATTCACTGAGTGACTGAAAAAGTCAAGGGAGATGTGGCACTTTCGGGATGAGTAGCAGACAGAAGTACAGCAAGATTTTTGTTTCCGTTAATAAAAATGTCTTAAATTGTCTTCCTTGGGGAGTCTAGTGATACGGTTAAATTTAAAGGGTGTAATAGTGAACATGCTAATGGATAACAGATGCCTGCGCACACACATACACACCACAGCCTCAAGGCTAACTGACCACAAGTTGGCTGCAGATGTTTCCAGACTGTATGTGCCATCATTTCTAGAGAGCAGTCCACATGAAATCACATCTCCTTCCAGCTCCAGCAGAGCGGAGCGGGGAAGTTTTATGGTTACAAATTTATGTCAAATATTTCTGCCTAATTAACCCTTCAACTTTGGCCTACTTTTACCAAAGTCTCTCCCTCTCTTCTGCCATCACTCCATCCGTACCTCCTCCTTCATGCCGGTCTCTAGCAGCATCATGACGCAGGCCTCGATGGGCAGAGCGATCTCACGGTTACTCCTCTTCAAGTGCTCCTCCAGAGCCGTGCCAAACGCTGGCTTCTCCATCCAGGAGTCTAGGAGAAAAGATCATCATCAGTGTCTTTATACGTACATTTGACAGCATTCCTGTTCTGTGTCTGTCAACTACCCTTTTATATTTCACCAGCAATCTGTCTGAATTTTAAAACAGTCAGCGGTTAATCCTTGGAGACCACCTAATTTAGATTTATGAAGGGTAACGTCCTGTTACTTTTAGCTGGACTTGGATGGATTAGTTTGAAAAAAAGATGTACTGCTAGGTGTAATGATCCCTCCTTTTATCCCACTGCTTTGCCGTCACAGTGATGCTTTACCGAGCTGAAATCTTCAGCATGCACATGCACACATGTAAAAAGCAGTTTAGAAACCAGATTACGTGTACACGCGGCCAAGAAATCGGCTTTCTCCAAGATAAAACTAGTCAGGGAAATTCTGTTTGTTTAGTCCCCAGTTACAGAATTTCTCATTAGAGAGCAGAAAGCTGATTGTAACCTGGTTACTTGCATGTAAACACTCTATGGAAAAACAACTAAGGAGAGAAACTCATTTAATGAAATGTGATTGTTTTCTGGAACATTGACTGACTTCATTACCATCCGTCTGCTGTACGTCTACCTTCTGAGCTGTTAGTCAGCTGTCATTTATTTGGAGCAGACAAAAAGCAGATCTGAGACAAAATAAAAGCTTCTCATCAGAGACACATTTAAGAATTTGAGGCAGTGTTAAAAAAAAAAAATACAAAACTTGGAAAATATGCTTATTATTGACTTGATTGTGCCTGATTTTGATCTAGAAAATACGAACAGCGTGAAATATATTTTTTTTCCTATTCGAATCACTGTTTTAACTCTGTGAGCCCAACAAGCCATGACAAGCCAGTCTACATTTCTCAAAGCAGAGTGGCTTATGTGTTGTGCAATAGTCCACCACACAGATGGATATATTTACAACTAAAAGGAGATATGCAATGGGTATGTTTTCTACATTGTTTGCAGATTTGCTGTTTACCTTGCTGTATCTGAATAGTTGGTATAGCTGCCTCCAGAGCTGCCAAAGACCTTCTGTGGTAGTCGGCCTGGGCCTCTAATAACTGGTACAAAAACATAAACATAGGTCATACATACAAACCTTTTGGCATATATTGAAGCATACTGCATCAACTAATCATACGGTTACAGTGTAATGGACCATATTTGCATCACATTTCCATTTTTGTTCTGGGTAATTTACACTAAACTGAGATGCACTCACCATGACATAATAGCGTGCGTAATCTCCCTCTTTGGAAGCAAAGTTGTACAAGTCTGCAGAGAGCTGGTCCTGTAGGATGAGAAAAAAAAGCTTTCATACATGGCAAAGCATTATGGCAACCTTAAACCTCCCGCTTTACTTTACACAGAAACATTTCATTAAGACGTAGATGAACTCCAGATGACAAAGCAATGACCTTCAATTACGTGGTCCTAATAATGTGTGGGGCATGTTTGGTTCCTGATCCACTCCTGTTACAAGGCTTCCTTTGTTCAGTCAGTTCATAAGATATTATGCTAACCTGATGAAAAGGCCCTGGCTGCAATGTACAAATTTAAAACAAAATCTACCTTGCATATTTCTACTTTGTTGAGAGCCTCGTCCATCTCGTCTTTGAGCGAATCGGCTTTAGCTGCCATAGCCTGGTTGTTGGACTTTGCCGCCTGGTAGTACCTGCGGGCCAAGAAATTATTAAGACACTAAGCATGAGTGTATTTGATTTAACAAATTCCTTTCTTTTGTTCATATTTATAACAAAGATCAACATTCATTTTCAAAAAACAAATAGGACAATTAAAGTTATTAAAGTTGACATCTGAAAATAATAGTAGTTAGATGAATTCAGAATATATGCTGGTCTACCTCGTCTTGGCCGAGTCAAAGTCCAGAACCAGTTTGGCGAGTTGTTTTCTCTGTTTAAGTATATTGGGAATATCTATCTGTGAGAGAAACAGTGAGGACCCAAGAGTACACAAGCAATTTAAAGTCAACACTGAGGATAACACCTTTCCTGTGAGAACATTGTGTCAATATGAATCATGCAGAATGGTAATGCAACACAAAAAGATGCCAGAGGCCATGTTGAATTTGGCACAATCATGAGATTACACACACACAGTATGTTTAGATTCTGTGCAGGCTCACTGAATGTTTCTGTCAAACGTAATCTGGTTAAAAGATTTTAAAAAAAGGATTTTTCTAGGCCACAATTATGCAAATTTGCAACTTAAATACAGACACATGCAGGCAGGGCGTAAGGGATCGCTACAGTATAAAGAGAGCTGCTGTGTTTTTACCTCTGCCAGCTGGTTGAGAGGATCCAGGATGTCTCTCTCAATCTGGACTTCGTGCTGCATCAGTTCAGTTGCTAACCTGCTCTCTGCCTCCCCACATACATCCATCATCTTGCTGCTCTCCCACACACACACACACACACACACACAAAAAAAAGAAAAAGAAATGGGAATGTATACAAATATGACTTATCACTAGTTTTCTCAAAAAAAAGAGGCCCCTTCATGCGCCGTTCACTCAGTTCATCACTTTTAATGATGCACTTTTGGTTCATCAGGATCAGTGGAGTTCATTTTGAGACAGTCAGACGCTGTATGCTCTTAAATACTGCTGAAACTGGTTTTGCATGAAATAAAATCTTGTACTTCACTTTGGTAACTCACCCAATCAGACTCTCGTCTCCCAGCTGGCTGCCACCCTCCTGCATGGCCTGGGAGAGCGTTGTTAGGGGCAACTTTTTCTGCAAGCACACCAACAAATTAAAGTTCCAAAATGCACAGTGAACAAAAGATAACCCAACGCTTAGCGGCAGGCATGTCAAAAAAATATAAAAGCATGATAAAGTAACATGTAACATGATTCCCTCTGAGTTGTATTGTGACAATATGGCTGAGGTGGGCCTGTTATGCAGTGATAGTTTAAACTGGCAGGAGGCCAGTGCTGAATATTTTTCTCCTGAGTCGCTCATATCAGTGTGTTACATAAGAGGAGACACTATGAGTTCATAGCATAAGATAGCAGGTCCCTGCCAATACGAACAATGGTGTCACAGTGATTCACCCTTATTTAATTTCTATATGAGCTGCTGCTACACCAACATGTCTCCGAGTGACTCGAAATGGGAAAGCTTTACATAGAAATCCTGACTTTGTAGCATGTTGCTAACATGGTAGGATGAGGTAATAAGAAGACGTTATGAGAATAAAAGAAGAGTGAAGGCAGAGGGTGATTCTTACATGTCTCTTCTCTGTGTCTGTGCCCAGTTGACCCTGCAGGCAGGACACCAGCCTCTTATGGGTGTTGTGCGACACCAAACGCACCAACTCCATCCGCCTCTCGATCTGTGAATGCACATTATAAACGTTATAAACTTAGAACAAACAAAACAGCTGTACTGTGAGCAGTGTTCACTCACAGTTTCCTGTTCAACAGAAATAACACAGGTGAGAGCCACAAATCACAATGCTGAAGCTGCACTAGCGCACATCCATCTCTAAACTTTCCATCCTGCTCTTGTTATTGAAAGATGATGGAGGATGTCTGTCTAGCTCTGTCCTGCAGCGTGCAGTGTTACAACAGGCAGCACTGTCAGCCAGATGGAAGGACTCATAGCAGATAAGTAACAGGCTGATGAATTGTGGGCTTTATTGAGAACAGGGAAAACTTCTTTGTCTTGACATTTGAAGACTCCATGCAGAGATATTATCAAGCAGAACAAATGTATCATTCTGACTGCAGGTCTGAGGTGTCCTGATCTACTGGTTACACTTCATAAGCAGTTATTTTAAGTAACCCATGGTGGTTTTGCATGTTTTAACACATCATGTATACTTAACGTTACCACAGCCCATTTTCCGGAGCGTGACATTCATTTTCAAATTTCTACCTTGAGAGGCACTGAACAAACTTTTTTTTCTGACGATACCAATCATTATACCTAAACTCAGTGAATCTGCCCATGTTCAATACATTGCTCTCTTTTCCCAAGATTTAAACTCTGTAACGCTTCCTCACTGCAGGAACTCATTATAATAAATAAGACAAAGAACGCACAAGGGATTGCTGTGACCAAATGAATGTAACTAAAAGCAGAAACAGTGAATTTTATAAAATCACTGAGACTGAAACTGTATTCAATGTGGACTGGTCACATGTGGCCGATACCTGATTAGTATCGAGGATTGAAACACAGATGATATAATTAATCCTTCACAGTTACTATCTATTGACTGCCTTCATTAATTAATAATTTATCAGTACATGTTGTCATAATACTTTTTCAGGAAACGGTTTATCTCTAAAATAAAAAACAATAGCGATATAAAAACAATACAAATATCAAACTTATACTGTGGCTCTTATGTGCGGCTGTGGCTCCATCTGCATGTCCTTGGGCAAGATACTGAACCCTGATGCACTGATATCAGTATGTATATGTGTGTGTGTTTGTGAAAGGCTTAGTTAGTTTTTGATGAGCAGTTGGCTCTTTGTATGGCAGGCTCTGCCATCAGTGTGCGAATGGGTGACATGTAGTGTAAAGCGCTTTAGTGGTCGGAAGACTAGAAAGGCATTATATCACTGCAGTCCGTTTACCATATAAAAAATCTAATACTGCCATGAACAAGTACTGTTATTTTATTTGCAACATTACCCACAATGGCCTAATATAAAAAGTGATATTAAAGGTGTATCCAAACCCTCAAAATCAGTCCCAAAATTTAAAAAAAAAACACTCGTGTTGTAAAAATAAAAAAGAGAATTTTGTGGTTTGCATTGAAAAGGTCGCCATTTGGCATTGACTGGTTCACACAGCCACAGCAAATAATGGTAGGGACATCAAAAATAACTTAAATTGACTGGTTTATTTGCAAAGACAGATTCAACTGCAAAGAGAGATGAGATGTGGATGGCAGTAAAGTCAGTGGTG